ATAGTTTTAAATGCATTAATTTTTAAATTTTTTTAAAGAAAATAAACTCAATTTGTTAATATATAATACATAACAATCAAATTTTATTTAATATTATGAAAAATTACAACAAACGATGGTGTTTAATGCTGTACTAATTTCTACTTGTGATAAATATTTGTTTTATAAATTAGTGGTTTTTATTACAGTAAAAATGATATGTCAATATATTACATCGCATATTTTTGTATTAATCTACATTTTTTTCAGATGGCATAGTTGCAATAAACAAACCATATGGCATATCTATGCATAATAAGAACAAAGATGGCGACTCATCTATAAAAAACTGTCACAAAATTGTGAATGCAGTTAATTATTCTATACATGATGTTTTGCCATATCTTGCAAAGGAATTAGATGTACCAAGTTTGATACCATGCATGGGATCGGAAAAGTGCACAAATATTTAGTTTTTCTTTTTCTTTCAAGAATATATTTATAACTTTTATTACAAATTGTTGTTTATTTATAGATATATGACTGGTCTCTATGTTTTTGGAATAAATGACGATGCATGCCAGCAAATAGAGAAGGCAAGAAGACGATTTCAAATGGGCAAATATAGAAAATATTGGGCAATCACAACCAGAGTACCAAACGATATCAAAGGAAAATATCGTTTGGGAATGACCTTACAAAAATCTTCATTAGGAGCCAAAAAGGTACATTTATCTCTGTGCACACATTCTAATTACATACAAATTAATTAATGCCTATTAAATTAATAATTATTCACGAATTTCAGCCTGTTATCTTAACAAAATGGTCTATTAATGCAGTAAAAAGGAATGAAGTCCAATTATTAAATATAAATTATAAAATTATATCCAATTCGACACACAATTTGAGTTCTCTAATAGAAATGGAAGCATCTGTAAAAAGATGGCATTCTCTTAGATTATTTGCTTCTACTATGCTATATAGCCCGATTCTTGGAGATAATTATCATGGATCGCGAGTTCAAGAAATCATGGGTACATGGATAAAAGTCAATCCATTTGCTGAATCTTGTTGGGATATGCCAAAAATAAATCAACAACTGCTGCAGTTGCTGGATATAAAGCAAAGTCAGCAAGAAATTATTCCAACTCATATCCACTTGAGAAATGTATATTTGACCTCTTTTGGCAAACAGAAAAAGGATATAGTACTAGAAGCACCTTTGATACATCCTTTTGATTGGACTTGCAAACAACTTATGTTTAAGCACATACCCGAATTAAACAATGACGATATAGAAGATGTGGTAAAAATAGCTTCTGCGTAATATATGATGAAACTGATATATAATGTTAATGAATTTTGCCAAGTATCATAATAAAAAGAATTATAATTTGAATTGATAAGAAGGCATTTATTTCTTTACATACATTCTCATACATTCAGATAATTGGATGACTATAATGATTAATGACTTAATACATGTTTGCCTTTTAAAATTCTTCTTTGGAGAATTTTTCTACCGGATGGTGTCGCCATTCTTGCAAACCAGCCATGTTTTTTTATGCGCATACGTTCATTGGGATGGGGAAAGTGATATCTCATTTTGTTTCTAACAAATGTTAAACTCCATGGATTCCATAGCACAGGTGTCACGCTCACTGCTGAAGAAAGCTGATTCGAAGCTCCCACGTGTCTGAAAATATGTTAACAACATTTATCGTTAATGTATTATTTTATTATATTTTGTTACTCGAGAATCTACCATTATATCTATGCTATATTAATATATATGAGATTAAATGATATAACCCACATTATAACATAACTAAAAATAAAATGTTACGTACGGCAAAGATCGATATATGCCGGAGATTAATTTGCCGATCATGTTTTTGTATCGTAAACGTTCTACAGATTCACAATATTATGAAAATCGTTACTCGATGTATTTCGAACAATTTCAAATGCGAAATTCGAGGTTAATTCTACACATTCTGTATGTATATACCACATATAAATATAAGCACAATTACGTAATGATCACGTGATCAAATGCGTCTGTCGAAAATTGCCGAACGTTTCCGAAGATTGGAAAATCCGTTGTTACATAGTTACTATAGCAACAGAATGTAAATGCGCGGTTCAAATTATCACTGTCGAGATATTTCAATGAATCGTCTAATAAATTGAAACATTTTGCAGCATAAAAGTATGTATTAAATTATACCGTTTGTTATATTTTCATTACTTTCTCAAAACTGAATATATAGAAATTTGAATTAGAGTTTAATAATAATTATAATAAGACAACCTAGAATATAAAATTGGTGCTACTTTAAAAGGCTAACTTTAGAACGCTAACTTTAAGTAAAGTAAAATATCTCAACGGCTGTCGTAACTTTTTAATCGTAAGTGTAAAGAAATTATTAGATCTTTCGAATAAATCATTAGATTTGAATCTATATATATTGGCATTGTCGTTTCAGACACATCAAATATTTATGGATCATCAAAAGAATTTGTGGTTGCCTGTCCGGCTGGCTTCAATCGGTTTATCAGTGAAGACCGTGTTCACTGATTAACCTATTCTTGGGTTTACATTACTCTGGAGGCTGCCAAAGGGCGTAGCAGTATTTAAGAATACAACCCTTCGACAGAAGAATGCGACACGACAACGATGACTTCGGCCGATCGACAACAAAGCATATAATTCTAAAAGGTACACACATTCGACAAATTTCCGAGCAGAAAAGCAAACGAGAAACATCGCTGCATGATAAATAGGTATGTAATATATTTAGGTATGTAACATATTTAGAACATTGTGTGTCATAAAACTAGAAACACCGATGGCTTAAACAAACTTGGAAAAGTAATTCTATTTAAAATTTTGTTTAAGATTTCATCAAATCACGAAGAAAATTGATAATTTTATAATATATATAATTGAAGTATACATTTCCGATTATCTTTTTATCAATTGATTAAGGATATGGAGATACTGGGAGAGTGGTTTTAATTGTTGGTTGAAATTTATTATTGATTTAATTATGGCATGTATATATGTACGTGAGCATTAGACAGCATTTTTAAAATATCCCAAATATAAAAATTGAAAATAACAGCTAAAAGAGATTTAAAGAATCTCTTAAATATTTTTTGCTTGTTTTTTTTTTTGTTTGAGATTAATAAAGATTCATTTAACCTTAAGTCAGTTGAGCAAATCTTTATGACTATCTTGTTTAGAACAACAATGTTTTGGAATATATATTTGTGAAAAAGTAATTTTTTCTACATAATTCAATTTTTATTTTATTATAAATTTTTATCAAAGTATTTTATTATGTAACTAATAAAAATTTATTTTAGAGATTAGTTTTATATATACAAATTACATTCTAGAAATTAAAGTTGATTTTTATCTCTTAATATTCGAGTTTTTAATTAAAATATACACACATAGCAGGATATAAAATTTCTTCTATCGCTCATATGCATTAATATCTTGTACGCAATATTAATATCAAATAACAGGTAAAAAGTACATATAAAAAAAAATTAAAAATTTCTTCAAGTCTTTTCATCTTTATCATTCATCAGTTCATTTGTTTTTTCATCTTTCATATTAGGATATTTTGAAAATACTTTTAGTGCACAAGTAAAAATGCGCGACTAAACTAACAACAATGAGTCTCAATCATGTATAAAGTGTCTCTTTCAGTTTCTTTTTGTCGTGTGTATCTGCTTGGAGAGATTTTTTCTTTCATCTAATGCATCCTATGGTGCCAATCTATTCTATGGATCTCGCCTCTATGTCGATAGTAATCGAACTGCTGTGACCCCTTTAACATGTCGTGTGGAACAGACAAACGCATACACATTCGTCAAATATACGAACATTCATGACATTACTATCCTGCAATGGTTGTCTGATTTTAAGACCACATGGGTCCTTTGTCCCGACGTGATTTTAGTGCATTTGATGCGCAAATAATTCTAAGGAGAATAATAATATAGAAAAATTATATTGATACTAGCATAAATTAACAGGTATTTTTTTATATATTTTTAAGTTTATCTAAAATGTCTTTAAAAAACTTACAAAGAACAAATATCACACACACATTTCTAATTTTTATATAAATACTTTAGAATATTAATAATTTTTCATCTTATAATTTATTATCTAGTATAATTTTTCATCTATTTAACGACAAATTTCCCTTTTATTTAAATATATGTTTTTTTAAATCTCAATATCATTATGTTAGTACGAAAATACGTCGTATGATTACCGAGAATAATGTAATGATACTATCTCTCTTATTTAGAATCAATTTAATGAGCAAGTTAATGCGATACCATCGGGATTTGGTTACACAGGAAAATGGTGTATGTGCTTGCCATTCAAAGGGCGCACTTAGATATTGTTAGAATGAACTTATATCCCGTGGGTAGATAAATTTTTTATTTATACATCCGTGATAGGGCTGTGACCTATTTGCTATATCACGTGGAACGTGCACGCGGTCGTTCTTCGAACACGCACATGTATCACCGAATATATTATCGCATACATCTTATTACCACATCGATTAAGTACAGTGCATCGTGGAATCAATGTCATTTAAAATGAAATTAGCAAACTTGCGGCTCTTTTTAATTTAATACGTAACGGTACTAGAGCAGATTGGCTTTAAATTGTACGCAATTTTTAAATCCGCATATATAAAATTTCTATGTAATCCCTATTTTTCTATTTAAATAGATTTACTAATAATTTCGTAATCTATACAATTAAAATTTTAATATTGTTAATGATATTTTATATATATTGAACATCAAGATTAATACAAAATTTCAAGACTATTTTTTCTTATATGTATAAAATTTGGCAGAACGTTTACTTTGCAACTTTTAAATTTTAAACACTGTATTTTTTAATTATGTTTTAAATTATTAATTTTAATTTATTAAAGAATAATGCCGTATATATTTTGCTGTACAACTATAACCTGCAGAAATTTATAGCTTCGTTATTATATCGTAAGTATGCGATATGTGCAGTCTAGGAAATACCGTATACTTGCAAGGATTGCTCTGCCGATTCGTTGAAGTTAACCGCATCGTCTTATTATAGATGCGCGGGATGTACCGCAGTTCCGTGCGTTTCAATCAGCGCACTTTGATGTAGTCATCGGGTAGTTTCATGCTGCCAGAAGCAGGAAGGTAGCAAGCATCTTTTAGTAATCATTCGTTGCAACCTGCATAAGCGTGCGCATTCGATGCGGCAATTACGACGCCTCTGAGAGAGCTGAAGAGCGCATTCGGCATGTCTAATTATGTAAATCACGATCGAGGCAATTAATTAGTTTGGCTGACTAATTGAAGGCACCCGTTGCTTGATCGATTCATCGTGGAGTCGGCGAGTTCAGAGATGCATCGATGATAAAAAGTGATCCGGAGTCGCTCTTCATCGCGTCGCGATTGATCACTTTCTTGATCTCGATCTTGCGGTACATTGCAGATAGTGGGGGCGCAATTTAATTAATTTATTATACAAAGATGATTTCATGATCGGTACCGTACGAGTAAAATTATTGCGGCAGATTATAAAATCATTCGGATTCGAGTGGCAAGCTAAGTAACTGTCATATGACGATTAAATCGCGCGAAATTAAATTATTACAAGAATTTCATCGCATATAATACATATATAAGTATTATTGTATTATAAAAGTTTTTAAATTGTGTATTTGTGTATACACTAGCAAGGCTATAAAAAAAAAAAAATTAGAAAAAAATAGATTTTTAACAGAAACATAATTACACACAGTTTTTGAACTTCAATAAATTATACATTATCTTTTTTATTTTAAATTTTTTATTTGCACACGCTGTTTTTCGACACGTGGTAAATGATGAAAGAGAAGACGCGCAGGCGAAAATCGGAGTAATTTTGACCCTCGGTAAAACGATTCCTTGAATCTCCCTCAAATCTACCGACGTAATTGCATGCACGCAGCCGTCTCATGTAACTCGATGCACCGCGTGGGCGATACAGCCCGATGTACCGGAACATCGGCTGGACCCGTTACTAGGTAGGAGATGCATGGGAGGGCGGGAAAACGTATTTTCGATTTTCCAATAAATCTCAATTTGAGCGTATATGCGCGCATAACTGCGCATTTCATTTACCAAAGCAATTTCATAATGACGCTTGAAAACAATGATTGCCCGGGGACCGGCTCTCTCTCTCTCTCTCTAGGCGGGAAAAGATTTTCCAATAAATCTCAATTTGAGCGTATATGCGCGCATAACTGCGCATTTCATTTACCAAAGCAATTTCATAATGACCATAATGACGCTTGATTGCCCGGGGACCGGCTCTCTCTCTCTC